AGCTCTGGAAACCTCATCTTCAATAGGATGAATTTATGAGTTTTACTGGTAGAGATGGATATTAATTATCATCAAGATAAAAAAATGGATTTAAAGCATGGACACTCAAAGTACATTCCCACTTTGTGTAATCTGTAGAAAACCTTTCCTCTGTAAGTATCATAAAGACTTATTAATAAGAAATCTTATTCAACACAATCGTTATTCAAATTTCCTTGAGTGAATAATGAAAAATATGTTTGATTTAGTGTTTAACCTTTTCACCCCCAGACTATCTCGCCAAAATTTGTCTGCACTTTTTTCTTACCGGTATATTCTTCAATATTTCTAGAAATGAAACTTAATTTTTCAATTTTTACTCAAAATATTTGGCTTTTTTTGTCCCATTTTTCTGAAGGAAAGTGCAGACTATAATCGAGAATATTTTGTGAATTTGTGATTAAAAGACAGAACTTGTGGTGAAAAAGTTAAACACCACAAACTTCAGTGCAGACCAGCTGAGTAATTCAAGTATTTCAAGATATGTGGCCATACCAATTAACTGATTTGATCATTCATCATGGCAATCACGATAATCAGTGGTAAGCATTCTGGACATAATACAAAGTGGGAATTGTCAATTTCAGTGACTTTCTGCAATTGTATTGTAGACTTTTTGATATTTCATTTGGAGTACCCAATTTAATGACATAAATTTAGAATTCAGTGTTTTCCCCAGAAAAACAGCATAGATCACCAGCTAATTTGCATAACAATAATAAATGTTAATCATATCCATTGTATTAATTGTTATGCTAAATTGGCCCTATTGTTTATCTAAAATTAAACAGTTGGGCACCCCTACTCTTTAATGCCCCGGGGGGAGCCCTGCAAATAATCTGACTATGAGAAAAAAAATATTTATTCTGAAGCCAGCAGATGCATTTAAACAAAAGTTTTTTACATATTGGCCATAGAGGGTGCTAACCTTGTAATCTAACTCCAGTAATGTTTATGAACAGTGTCTCACATAAAATGATTACTAAATATTTTAAAAAGTTTCAGCATGTGTTCCAGACCATGAGTTTTCCATTGTAAAATAAGAGGTTTCTAGTAGGCAGTGGTATACATGACTCCACGGTGTGGTTCATGCCAGGTGGGTGTCCCAGTGTAGGATCTGTACTGTTATCACGGACCACTGGAGTGTCCTGAAACAAAGCAAACATTGCAGCTATTACGTTTGTTCTTTTACATAAATGTAATTAGATAAATATAAAACCATATCATTAAATTCAAGGAAAATTGTTTGAATCATAACCCTGTGCTCTGGATAGGATATACATTTTTAATGTGCTCACATGACCATATATGGTCATTAAATATGTTGATCAGTTCCTGTGCCCAATATCTTCAATAAAACACTGATTAGGTATAAAAAGTCTACTGTAAAATACTTTATTTTTGCTTGGAATAAATTTTTGCTATTTTTACTAAAGGAATGATCAGTGAAAATAAAATCCAAAAACCTTTTTTTTCTATATTTTACATTCAACTCGTCAAAAATCGGTGAAAATAAATTCCATACAAAACACTTAAGGACTTTTCACCAATAAATAATTCTAGCTAAAATAAAGTATTTCACAGTATCTGCAATAGCACTCCAGATATTACTTACTGGCTATTGTCCTAAAAAAGATCTACTGTTACTACAGCAACATATTTTATATTGTTTAAAAATTTATGCATTGATAAGGTCAAGTTAATTGACCAGTGTAGTGCAAAGCATCATGGTCCTACTCACCTGCTGCTCGTTGATAAAATTAAGTAAGTGTAATGATAGTTTTCTGCTGGAATGTAATAAGTGAGCCAAACTGAAAAATAAAATGAAAGTCAATACTAACATCTCTGATTTATTGCATAGAACAGTACATTAGGTTTAAATATTAAAGTTGCATTCCCACTTTGCAAATTGCTTCACTCCTTCAATTCACTACCAGAACAAGCTATACTACACAGAAAACAACTCAAAAATCTTTTGAAATATAGTCCACCTTTGACTGTCGAATAGAGAATCCTGCATGCGATTCAATGACTTGATGGCACCGTAAATTGCCGAAAACCAGAATCGAATCTATTGTAGAAGGGTTAATTATTCACTGGGTTTTAATTTTGCTTATTTCGCTGACTGGAAAATACGCTAAATTAAAACCAAGTGAAAATGTAAAACTGAGCATAGAACACATTATCTAAATGATAAAACCGTGAATTTAAAACCCACTGAATATGCCTGAAATGCTAAATCAGTGAAATTTAAACCCAATTAAAATTAGTCATTTTACAGTATGAGACTATGCCTAGTAATGCAGACACCTTGAGATTACCATAGCATGCATTATAATACACATAGTTTTTGACATGTAAATAGTTACAAACAACATTTTGTCGACATACCTCTCTTTATCACACAGCTTATGGTCAACTATTTTTTGGCACACGTCTTTATTGACCACGTCGTCGAACAACGGAATACCAAAATACAAGTCTAGCGGTACCCAATCATCCACACTGTCAACTGTAACGGCACTTGAGTCCCTTTGAACATCCAGGGTCAGTTTCTCCTTCATTGCCGTGGTAACATCTGTTAGGTTGCTCGGTGGGGATTGTTTATGAGTGTTCGCATCACCATCTGCGAGATCAATCGTTGCATCTTGAAGTTCGTCGACCACCTGTTGTGCTTGTATATTGGCGTAATCTGGTTTACAGCTTTTTAGCATTGTGACGTAGCCACATGTATGTTTCAAATCAAACCTTTTAGCCAGACTTCTGATAGCCGGATGAGTTTCCATATTATTTCTTGTAAATACTCCTGAAACAAAAAGATCACAAGTGTAAATTCATTATATCTTTTAAACATCAGATCACTGAAAGAAGTGTGAAATATTCAGGGC